ATATGGTAAATATAGAATGAAATAAAAATCGCGTTGTAATCCGGTATTGGCCGTAGATAAGGAGGGATTGTGACAAGGAAAGAATTATGTGCTCTAGAGGGCAATTTTTCTTTCCCGGGATTTATTCCTGTAATTTATAGAGGATCTGCCTGTATCTGGACTAACTTGGGTCTATGTAATTAAAGACGTGATATGATGTCAGTCAGATTAAATATTTATATATGGCCTAAAGTAATTTGACAGATACTTGAATTTCTATAGACATAAAATAGAAGTTTCTAGATATTCTAAATTCTGATTTTTATAATAAGTCAGATTACTAAGCTCAGGTTCTTCGTAATTGTTATATCAAAGTACTATTAAAAGTCTCTGTATAACATTTTTTGTAAATCACTCGTCAATAGCTTAAGCACATGGCTGATCTATCTATGATCTTACATACGATCGACGCATCCCAGTTATTTGACACGCAGAATTTTTAGAACGTGCCTCGAAATGAATTGTCGACAAAAGTGTTCCTGGCAGCGAAGCGTCGAGAGTGGGCTCACCGGCTCCCACCCCTCGACCGCAGTCGTAAATTTAGGGTTTCATAAAACCAGATCTGAGATAAGACACAGTGTGGATAGTCCCGGCTCAATGCAGGCCTTCGAATCAGCATAGACAATAAAAATAACACCGGCGCATCTGCGGATAGCATTTTACGTGCATACTTCAAAATTTGTCGTGTTTACATAAAATACGCGCTGGCGATAGCGATCTCGGATTCGCCAGAAATAAAAAAAAACACGTCATTTGCAAGCGCTGGCCCCGCAATGCGAATCCGAAGCCTATTCGGTTAAAAAAAAACACAAAGTGAACTGTCAAGAGGCCCACAAAAGCGCATTATGATTTTAACAAGTTTCTGAATTGTTCTACTATTATGAGGCGTGTATTATGTTTTTCATCTATAGTAAGGGTATTTGGGCGCCTTTGTGGCTCGGTTTTGACAAATAAATCCGAATGATTTACTCCAATAATAATAATTAAGGATTAGTGCGGCCGAGTTGAACTTTTTGCTGGAAACTTTGTGCTGGATGGCGCCACTGGCTGTTCATTGCGTTAATCCTCGTTCAGCCGGTTCGAGCATAGCGGTGTTAGTTGAGTATTGGAATTAGATCATGACGAAGTTTCTATGTTAACAAGTAAGAGAAGTAGTTTGCCTAACTACAAGTATAAACAAGCGGTAACATGAATGAACGACCGCTGGGATGTCTTAGTGGACTAATTAAAACTTCAGCAGCGACACTTGTTTGTCCTACAACAGTTTGTTATAAAGAGATGTTATCGTCGACGCGTTTGAGTGTTCGGTTCGCTCGGTGTACAACTTATAATATTTACATCAGAACGCCGTATACGTGTACAGAACGGGTTGTAGGCTGTTACGTGTTGGGGACATATATTTAAAGCTCCAGTAGATAGGGGTGCAATAATTTTGACAATGACTAGCAGCCTTACCCGGGCGAGGCGTAGGCGCGGGGCGGTGCGCGCGGGGGGCAATCTGCGCACTAAATCACGCTACGAATAAAATTTATGGCGCCGAGATAAAAACTCGCAGCTTTTCTCTTTTACGTCCCTCCTTTTCCCCCGGTCCTCACTCCCGCGAAAAATCCATAGGGATTTTTCCAAGTGTTCCGGCGACGGCATGTGTGGGGACCGGGCGATTCTGTTTTATGCTTATTGCCCGCTCCGATGTTTTGTTTGCTAAGTTACACAGATAAGGGATAGGTACTGAGATTGTCTTCTACACTGGACGGGAAAAGTTTGTTGGAATCGCATTTTTTTTGTTGTTTAGTAATATGTTGTCGGCTTTTTTTGTTTTTGGTAATAAGATATCGTATCTAGTAATATATATTGTTGATGTAAAATTCGATAATTTAAGCGGTTTTAAATGAAAGCACGACACCATAAACAACCCTGAAATAATAGAGAGTAACTGTGTTGCCATGACTATAATAAATTATATATAAGAAACTATTGCTATGGTAGTGAAGGTCACGAAACCTAGGTAAGTAAACTATAACGTTATAATTCAATATCAAAAATTGATATAATCATGAATTTATATAAAAATTACTAAGGCTTGAAGGTAATTATGAATTCAGTAATTTTTAATCATTACTTACTTATTTTCTAAAAAGAACTATGAGAATAGTTGGCATATATAAAAATTTTACATATACACATTCTATTCATAAAATACATATATAGAAAAATTATAGAACTTTCTGTAAATATAATGTAACATCTTCCTTTATTCTCAACTCCAGAATTTTCCGAATATCTTCATTTTGTTAAAATTATAATAAATATTATTTATATGAATAAAAATTTTCATCACCAATACATTAGCAGCTGTAAAAAGAATCAATAATGAATCAATACATTAGAAACGCTGAGTTTATCAAAATGTGTGACAAATTCCACAAAAGCCTCACATTCACATAGAAGCTGTTGTCTCATTTATCGGGACTAGATCAGTGTTTACATTATTACAAGGACTTGATCCACGTCAAAATAATGTCCTTATTAGACTACGAGGAGATCACAAAGGAACCACAGCAAAAAAAATGACAAAATCTACGCAGAGATTACTAGAGAGCAAGGCCATCTGTGGATATTGAGACCATCTCAAACCAGATAACTTATCACGAGATCTTGACTCAGATTTTGTGAAGAAAAAGCTAAAGAAAAGGCTCCCATTTATAGATGAAGCACAGACCCACAGACGGCGCGGTCGAGATCGCATTAGACTCTTCTATTGAACGATGATTTGAATTTTCATTGTTTATGGTGGCAGACATGTGTCAAAGTTCGATTGGAATTTAAATTCGGCTCCTTTGTTATATATATTTTTTATGTTTTGCTCGTAAACATGAGTGATGTTCCAATTTGTTTGGTTCTGATGGCCGTGTCTGTCTGTATATAATACACGAATCACTCTCGCATGTGATTCACATAAAACGTTTGTATCCTAAAGTCGGAACTTCAAAGAGCATCTGCTAAATTAGCAAACACAACTCAAGCGAGGGTACATACACAAAGCGGCGACCATTTTGTTCCGACACTTTTCAAAATTGGAACGTGACGGTTGCGAGCGCTGCCAGGCCAGAGACAATGACGTGAAAAGGAAAAATATAAACGTCCCTATTTTAAGCAGAGCCATTGCTACGACTAATATTTTATGCTGCTTTTCAAATGAGTTAGAGCTTTATATGATTTGATCTTTATTATATTGTGTTAAGGTTTATAATAGCTTGTGTTATTAATGTGACTTACGTCGTTCTGGTGTTGAATGATGTTAATTTAAAAGTGCGTTCTTGAACCCTTTCAGAGGTATTGTATCTTTGTGCTCTTTGTACACTAGATGGTTTATCTTCGTCGCTGGGTACATAAGTGCTGTTTTTTCATTCCGTAATGCTTTTACATTTCAAAGGGGTTAAATGTTATTCAGACTGTCTGAGTGTGGGTGTCGCGGCAGGAAATATCGGCTTGTTTTCATTTGTGTTATGTATTATAGTATTTACGGCATGTCTTGTTGTTAATGAGGTTTTGATATAGGAAATCGGTTAACGGATTTTGAGGATTGTTGCTAACCTCTGAGTAATATTTAATAAAGATATATGAGGATTTTGTTAAATTCATAGTTTATTATACAAATAATTTTAATTCCAAGATAAAAATCGAAGATGTTTTGCTAAACATATATTTAATGACATAAAACATGATAAGAATTTAAATATTAGACAATAAATTCAGATTCTTGATTGTGCTCTACGCATAATCTAATTAATATAAAAACATAGGTACTCTATATAAAAAGTAATTATTCTAAGGAAATTAATAAAAAAATATATTAGCATAACACAATAATTCTCGTTATTATAGAAAGTAATATGTAACTATATAAAAAATAGAATGTATTATTCTTACAGACATTCTTCATTATTTTTCATATGTAATAAAAAAATTCACAAGCATCTAATTCATAAAACTTTAAGTATTAATTTACTTAATATTAAATTATTCAAAATCATAAAACTTTATTAACAATTATCGTATAAAACAAATACATATTGGATTTTAAATATCAAATAATACAAAGTAAAATATGAACCTATATAAGTCGGAAAAAATATCAATATAAAACCTTCTTTTTCAACGAACTCATTTACTTAAGATAACTGAAATGAGTTGCCCTCACCAATAACCATGCAATAACTATTGAAAATACATTATATAGTTGTTAACTAACAAGGAAATTAAATTATATTTGCCTTTTAATACAAAGCGAGACAATCCGTGAATAAATTCTTGTATAATTTTAATAACAATATTAATAAAATCTTTAATTTAATTATATAGATTAATTTATAAATGTAAACTAAATAAATCAAACACCATTTAACTTTTTTCTGCCGGAGATTAAATTAAATATAATCTTATTATTAATTGAAACGAATAGTATGTATTAAAATATCGAAACATTGCTACAGTATAATGGGCATAATTTTTGTTACAGTTACAATGTAAGTAATATTTATTTAATGAATTACTTATTTAATTACCAAAATTAAAAGACAAAAATATAATAATAACATTGTAATATACTAATCAGGATAAATTTAATTTTTAATCGCTTATTTATATCAAGAAAAATCGAATGTAAAGCAAATTGCTCAGCCGTCTATCTTTTTAAAAATTATATCAAATACATATATAAAAACTTATCAGAATTGTTGTATGTTATATGTATAAAATCGTTCATTAATTTATTAAGAAGTTGTTATGATGTTTATAATATATAAAAGTTAAATGTATCTCAACAAGTAGGTATATCGTCCGTCGGCCGGTGACATTCATAACGCATTATATTTATAACCATTGTACTACCGCCATCCATCAAGAGCGGCGCGCGACTGACGCACACACCCGCCCAAAAAGAGAAAAGGAAAATTTTAAAAATGGAACACTCCCATCTGACGCCCTCTGGGCTGCCTGTGCACGAGCCCGGCCAATCGGATGCCGAGTTTCGACTCTATCATCGACTCTACATCACTTCCGAACATTGCCGATCGTACCCGAAGCTAGCCGAAGCCGTCCGACTCGGTGTTCACAACAAAAAGTCATAGGACTGGTTTAGTGTCGGGTCGCGTCCCAACGACGCCGCATCACGTGCGGGCGAGGCTTTGCTGCGCCTGCGCACTCAACACAACCAACAAACATACAAACAGTATTCGTTGTATTAGTGTTACATATAATAATTATATAGAAAATATAAAAAAAATGGACCCACAGACGGAATGGAGCGTATGATTACAGTGTGTTTTTTAATTTATACAATATTATATGTGATTGTTAGTGAAAGTGAACGATATATTTGTGATAATAACTTTATCAGGACAATTCAGGTATATTATAATATATATATCCCTTACTAATATTATATACGCTTTGGAAATATATCTACCATTTGGAAAAATGTTGCAAATAATTTCAATATGTAGTATGTAGTATCTATTGTTGCAATATGATGAAATTAGATAAATTTATATCTTCTTAACTAAATTTAAATTCATAATAATTAAAACTAAATAAACCAGCCATCATATTTTTCCTATCACAAATAGCTATCTTTATAACTTACTTACTCTACTTTATGTCATATAAAAAGAAAATAAAATTATAAATCATACAAAATAGTTAAAATATATGAAAAATAATGATTATTTTATCCAAATAATTTAAATAATATTATTAGAGTATGGTACATAGTAGCCGACGGTAGCGCATTGTAGAGAACCAATTAATAAGAACTTTCACCGTATTAAAAACTATATATAAAAATAGAATTTTACCAAGAAATAGAAAGAATATTAAATTCATAAATTTGATATATACATGAAATATTCATACATTCTAAATATCAGATATATATACATATACAATATTTATATGCATATGCAAATAACAAAAAATTTGTTCATATTATCATAAATAGTTGTTTTTGAATATTTTTTAGTTTTTCATTATTTATGTTATAATATTTGTATGTAAATCCTTTTGTAATATATACATATATATTTTATTTAATATGTATTTCAATAAAATTAAGATATGTTTATATTATATTACCTTCAGTTTCATACAATTTATTTATATATTTATTTCTTATATTGGCTGTATGTTTATGATACATTTTTTTAAATGTTTTCAATTTAAATGCTTAGTAATAATATATAAATGAAATATGATATTACTGTCGTTAATACAATAATATAATTGTTATTAATAATATTATTATATCTAAAATTAATTTAATTATTCATGTTTATTTATATTTTTTAATATTTATATTAATTTATTCTGTATAATGATATTCTTATCAATTTAATAGATGTATTATAAATGTAGGTAACGAGTTACATCTTGTTTATATATTTATGTATTTTAATATTTATTTATATATATTAATATATGTATTAAATTTTCGTTTTTCTTTCTGGCTGTATGTATAAATACAATGGTAACAACAAATCAATGTCAGTGTCAGTTAATTTTTTTTTCGGACGCCACGATCGGCCGCCATGACAGTCCGCGTTCGAAATTTGAATGCCACCTGAGATGCGCAAACGCAAGCATCGATTAGCCGATAAGCCTCCTGTATGTACGTTTCCGCCGGAGATACATTTATATGTGGATATTATTTTTTCTATATCAAACAAATTTCAGTTCATATTAGAGAAAAAATTAGTTACTTTGAAGTACTTAATAAAATGACGTGAGAGAAATGTTAGTTCAGTTTAGCTATTTATATATATCTTCATATTTTTGATTTAAAAATTCACTTAAATAACAATAATTACAGAATTAAACTTTAAAATATTAATATTACTTCAAATTACGGCTGTATGTACTCAACCTAAGACCTCAAACTAATAAGATTGTTCACTCAATATAATATTGGAGGGATTTTGTTTAATCGCCTTTGTTTCGACATTACAGTATTAAAATGCTTTCTATTAAAGCTATAATCTTTTGTTTACTGAGACTTAAAATATTAATCTGATCTATCAACATTTCATAGAAATTAGTTCGGATGAATAATTTCAACATTCGATATTCAAAAAGTTAATAGAACAATAAAAAATATCGAAAAATTTTTTTAAATAAATGACAGTTGATATTTCTGTATAATCTTTGGTAAGAAATTCTTAATTGAATTTTGTCTTTTTAATTATTAATATACCTAATAAGAGAAATTTAACGTTAGTTTTGATTCGAAAATAAGTTATACTAAATTAAGTAATTAATTTCCCGCTCAATATTATTCACACGTCATTGAGAGTCAAATAAGTTTCAAAATAAACATAAAAATTCCTTCTATTGATGACATTTTCTATGTAAAGTAAATATTTTTTATATAATATTAATTATTATAGAATATCGTCCCAATATTAGCAAGTGAAGTAATAAATCATATTAAATTGATATGTTATAATGGAATTGGTGTAATAATAACCTCCATCTTATCTGATATCCGTTGATACGGCGTTCAGCAGTGATTTATATAAAACTGTTACGTAACACACACACACACACACACACACACACACACACACACACGCACACACACATACACAAATAAATATATATAGTTGTATGTATGTGTGTGTGTGTGTATTTATATATACATATTCGATTCAAATTAGTGACTTTTCATGAATATAATTTTCCTTATAATCCACTTAATTTTTCTCTATCGAGTATCTTCATATATTTTTTTACATTTAACAAATATTTTAAATGTAACTACATTTAATTTAATGTTCATAATGTCATTGACGTACAGTAAATAAATCGTCTATTACATATTATAATATATAATTTAAATGTATTTATGCATGTTTTGATTTACGACTGCATGTATGTACATTGCATATGCAGTACCTACTCACATACATATGAAGTTAAAATAATTAATATATATAAACTATTAAAATTAATGATTTATTTGGATTTTTTTTGTCTTTATATTTATCTTATCAATACATTACTAGGAAATCGTATGAAATGGACGCAAATTGCGATAAAATGATTCCTTTTTTTATTATCAGACAAATGATTTTATTTTCAGTCTATTCACAGATAGTGGGTTCGGTGGTTGTGATAATATAAACTTTGAACTACTGTTTTTAGATCAGCATATCATACTTCTGGTGAGATTTTTAAATGTACTAAAAATAACTTTATTATCATTATTTGCTTTATAAACGGACGCTTTGTATCTAACTATTATATATAGTATGTAGTAATATTATAAGTACATATATAAATATCAATTACAAAAGATAGCTATATGTTACAAATAAATTATTTTTTATCAAACTATTTACCTATTAATAGTTACAGATAGAAATAAATATATAATATGTATAATTAATTTCTTTCTTTTAAATTGTTTGTGATAGTCATATAATAAAATGAAATGGGAAAAGTTTAGTAATATTATATATATTTGATAAAGCTTACATTAGAATAAAAATTATATAACATTTAGTAATTAAACATAGTTTCGTAAACTGTTTTAAAAAGAATGACTTAATAATGCTAGCGTTGTCTAAACTAAAAAATCATTTTGTAGAGAAAAATATATAATAATTTATGTATATTTTTTTATTTAGTTTATAAATCGCGGTTAACTAAAAACATTAGAAGCACGCGTGATCTTCGCGTGTGTTCAAAAAACTTATCGGATAAAATTCGCCAATTCCTTTGAGGGACAAAACTAGACTCAGTTAAGAAACAAACTATGTATTTATTTTAAATTATTTCTTATTGTTATTAATTAATATTGCAAAGTGAATTTACACATATTTAATTAGAAATTTTATAACATTTCTCTGTAATTTCTGAGAATATTTCGGATATTTTTTGTCTCGATACTTTGATTTATAAAATATAATTAACTTTGATTTATATTTAATGGCATTATTGATTTGGACATTGTATCCGATAAGTGTAATCGGTGTTTTATTTCATATATTTTTTTCATCGTATCTTATCTTAATACGAATTAATAGATGGAGTAGCGTTTTGTTATTGCACCAATAAAAATCATAATGCAGATATATTATATGTATTTATTTTTAGATAAAATGTTTCTATACATTATTATAATAGTTTTTTTAAGTCATTAATTTATATAGTGGAGGTAAAAACTGAATTCATTATACAAAACAAAATTCTTGGACGGTGTCCGTACAGTTGAATAAATATGTTATTTATTCGCGAGGCGTTTGTGTAGACGCCTCCTGTCGCGAGTTATTTCATAGAATGCGACACATATGTACATACGTACATCCACAATTATACATATCACGCGCCTCACAGGAATATCTGGTTATTTAAATAACAAAACGCTTTGGAGTTAGTGTAATCATTCCTTCTGTGACAATACTGTGATAATTCCGATCGTATTCTGGCAACAAATTGATATCTTCGGTGGGTTTAGTATTAATAAAAATCACGGCTCCGCTGGCCAACAACGCTTAATGCGCGGTTACGTTATCGCGGCCGTATCAAGTGTTTGCGGTATATCAGTTAATCAAATTGGGAGCGTATCGATATCACGGACGTCTTGATAGCGGACTATTTTTATCTTAATTGATTGTTTTTTTTCATACACATAATACCGACTTATTATTTCCTTCCTTTGATGTTGCGAATGCTAATCCTTTATGTGTTCGCAGATACGGGTGTGAATCCGGAGGCCGCGTGAACAGATCTGTCTATGATGACAACGCTGTGATACGAGGCTCATCGGGATACTCAGCTGATATAGTATATCGGGGCGATTGACTGGAAATGCGGATAGGAGTGCGGACTTAAAGTGCGTGTGTTAAAAGCGATGCATGGTTTGTGAGATCGGGTCAGCGGTCATGGACATGAGCGGCGAGGGTGGCGGAGCGGGCGCGAGCGCGGGCGCGTTACAGCAGCGGTGGTACGACAGCCGCGTGAACGGCAGCCCGGCCGCCGGCGACGTCAGCTCCGAGACCAACGGCGACGGGTTCTTCCACTCGCCGCTGGAGGGCGGCCATCACAGCCGCGCCCGCTACTACCATCAACAAATGCATGCCCCTTACTCCTCGGCTGTCGGCTCGCATGGTAAGTTGATGATATTAAGACGATGTACTTACCTTCCTTTATTATGTTGTTACAACGACAAACTCGCCGTTACATAATATAAAGAAATTAAGATAAGCTGATGATTGTGTTCCAACGATATACAAAAACGTTTAACGCACCCGAAGATCCGATTGCTGAATATAAATGTTTTAAAGCAGTATTCCACAAACCAAACTGTCAGTATTTAAAGCAAATTGCCGGCAGGATGGTAGCCGGCCGTCCGCTGAACCTTATCGCACATCAGACGATATCTCTCCAAAACTCCACAATTAATTCAACGGCTCGGAGCAGTCAAATCACAATTCTGTGAGGTGACAGCTTAGGTAAACACGATCTAAAATGGTCTTCGACCCTAAAACAAAAAAATACAACATCGTTTCATACTTATCGTTTTTGTCTTTTGAGGTTTAAATTTTATGGTCGCTATAAAGTTTTCCTTGGAGACAGGTGGCTCTTCTTTATAATTCAACTTCACATCCAAAGGTGTACCGAAGCTAGTCCATAAGGTCGTCTTTAAGGGTCGTATTCGCGTGCGTGTTTATAATTTAAATTTATTAAGCCCTGTGTCGGTAGTGATGTGACATTTAAGAAACTGTGTCATTTCTCGGAATCGGAACTGGACATCGATTTTGTTGCGTTCTCAGCAGTAATGTCCCATAGTTTATGTACCACCGTGTATATAATTTTCAGCCTGTTTGTAAACTAAGTCTTATCGTGTTCTGTCCCAAGCGATGCCGCTCGATATTTCGATTATATCTAAATTTTGTGAATTCATTTGTCGACAGCGTGTTACTCGATTGATGTTCTCATTTTATTGCTTCGTTAAATCGTATATATGAAAATGATTTCGTAATATAATTTCGCGTTCACTTTGTTTATTTATAATCCCTTTGTCCTGTCGTTCTTTGCTCGGTTATAAAACATATTTTTAAGTTGGCTCAGGTGTGAATAAACCCGCTACGATGACAACACAGATCGTTTTTACTTAGCGTTTTACGACCGGGCACATTTCACCCTCAATCGGCCACCGCATAATTGTATTAAGTTTATTTGTTTAATAAACTGTTGTGTTTTATTTTTATTTCTCATCTTACCGGCTCCTTAATATCACGTTTAATCACTTGAGATATTTTCTTTCTCTCTTATTCAATATGTATCGTGTGGATTTATATCTTAAGTAACATTTCGTCGTTTAACATAATGATGTTCGAACTAAACGCACGACATATATCTATTAAGATAAGAAGCTCGTACGTGATTAGGCGACCTTTGATAAAACTTGTGTAAATGTATTACATTCAATTATGTTTTTTATGATGATTTATCAGTGCTTTTTATTATACACGTTTAATTAAAATTCCGTTTTTTTTATTATTCATATCTTTATTATTTAAAAGTTTAAGTAGTAAAGAATATTTTTAATACATATACTTGCGAGTCTTCGTGACATAAAATGTCTTTCTGATTGTGAAGTGTTTCTCTTAAGTAACACGATACAGGTCAGTTTTGACGTTCGTTCGATAATTTATAGTTTGTTGTGGGGATTGATTCACGACGACGCTGGTGACGTCACGAGATGCACGTGATACAGGGTGTTCACGGAAATTTGAGATATACATTTTGTAACATGGATATATATCTTATAGCTCATACGTATAGAATGGGATAGTGGGATACTTAGAATGTATGTGATAATATCTTTAATAGTTAACTAGTAAGAAATATTTGGAATATAATCGATTTAATTAAACAGCGTTAAAATTATTATTTGACTTGTATCAAGAATTAAGTATACTCTAACTAATAACTCAAGATTTAGATGTTGAAGTAGGTACATTATTCACACCGTTTTATATATTTTAAATATCATTAAAACAAATTATAAGTAACTACAATAAGTGAGAAAACACCAAGTAAAGGAATAGTATGATTATATATTCTTAATAGAATATATCAATATATGAAGTAAATATATAGCATAGAGTTATTACTTAAATTACGAGCAAGTAAATGTTTTACATAATAATAACTGTTAATTTCTTTTAAGTATCAAAAACAATCTTTCACAATAAAATAAAATAATATTTTTAGTACTACAATTATACTTATAGTGAGTTCTATAAACTCAAGTGACATTATAGATTAATTTTCAAATAATTTTGGGTATGATTTCTTAAAACGGAAAATAACAATATTAGACACGTTTTGTGTTATAAAACTATGAGTGTGTGTCAGTGTCTGTGTTTTCTTAATACCGGGATCCGATGAAATATAGGATTTTGTTAGTCACAATGTGAAAAAGAAATGCAAAATATTCATCAGAGAATGCTATTAGCTTATAGTTAAAGATGCGGACGAAGCTGGGCTTAAGCTCTAGTCTCATAAAATAAAAAGCCATGAATTTGATGAGTTCACATTCAATGTCCGTCCATCTGCCAACAGGTCCGACATCTTTGTCTTTTTACTCTCAGTCCCTTAACAGGCTAGATTTTTTCAATTACCCCGTCTGGACAAGTAAATGAATATGAAAGTGTCGCCCTCATCACTACACCAATTAAATTGACCGGCCGTTCCTTTCGCTCAGAAATCTACAGACACTACATATATTGTATTTTTACTACCATTCTTTACTCAATCCGTCCCTTGTACGTTTGCAGGAATTATTATTATAATGATATGATTTAACTATTCGTTAACCGGTCGTCATTTTATTTTGTAATTTAACAATGGGTGGCGCAAAAAATCTGTGCGTGCATTTGCCTAATGCGCTATATGTCATGTCATGTGTGTATGTGTGTATTTGTAAAAGTGCGTGTGTGCGTGAGACGCGACCAACAGATTGGCGCAATTAGTAGCGCGGGGCGTGGCCTGCGCCTGCGCAACGACATCTCCTCCTCACACACATACACACAGACACACTCAAACACAAACAAACACACCGGTAATTATACCACAAAATAATGATGGCATTAAACATTAAATCTTTCCCCCTTTCCCGACACATCAACTGCCGGTGAACACAGTTGCGAAAACGCTAAATAAATAATCTTACGCTGCTGTGATTTTGACTTTATAATTAAATAGAATTATTCTCAACTATACAATCACTATATTATTCAACATTTTTTGTATGTTTTAGACTTTTTGTAATAATAACCTAGCGAAAAAAATTATGACAATACATATTTAAAAACTTACCCAAGTGTCGCATGTAATAAATTCAATGAACATGTTCATTTATAACAAGAAACACTCAGAATTTGTTCATAAACATATCTGTGTGCTGCCATGTGTACCACAACGATGAGCCCGGAGTCGCTCACGAATGGAATATTGCCGGTAACTTTCCAGACGGGAGTCGCTACGAATTTAAACCAATCTGTGTGCATCGAACCTACTCATATTTATGATGTCCTGGTACTTTAAAATAACAGACTAAAAGTATTCCAAGTAAATCACAATACATTTTAAGACTAATTTTTAATTAATTGTTTAAATACCGACATATATGAGAAGATTAGTTTCGTGCAGTTGAGGCTTTGCAGGGATAATATATCTTTTCAGACTCAAGTCTATGAGTTTTAATAATACTAGATATTGACTGTACTATATTTATGATGCCCTGGTACCTACTTTAAAATTTCAGTAGTTTCACTTTTCGTCTACTAAAAGAACCATAAAACTTAATCTCATCTAACTTTAAACAAGCTTTCTAATAGCATATTAAAAATCTTGAACAATCTAAGACATAATAAGACATACCTAATTTTACCTTTTTGCTCTGAATTCACTTATTGTTTAAAATAAAAGTGTAAATTAAGAAGAAATAGAAAACAAAACTTTCGGAATTAATTTGTTATCATAATGCGTTTAACAAATGGCAGCTTTGTGATAAATAAAAATTAAGTAGACTTAAATGTATGTAAATATTGAGTAACCTCTTGATCGGGATTTCACTTATTTAGCTTTAAAAAATATATTTTAGACAAAATACGAACCAATCAATATTCATATTAGTTTATTAATTACATTAATTTAATCGTTGTAGTTTTTTTTTAATTTCAGAATGCTAAGTAAAAATGTAATCCTTCTATTCTGCAGTAGTTATATACAAATAAATAAAAATCGAGTTTCTGTTTGTGGTATTTAAATAATCGATTTTTACCAGATGTATTAGAATATTACATAAATATGTATATTAGAGTACATATGTACGTACTCTGATATGTATATCAGAGTAACATGTTTTAAAATTTGCCTATCTCTTTTTTATTTTGAGTAGACATTCACTGGTTTCAGAAGGAGTAACTTGAGTTATTCATGGGATTCCATTGATTTTTATGAAAATAAAAACTAAAAATAAAAAAAAAATACAAAATAAATAGTCGTAGCCACAGCTACTTGTAATATATTTAAATATACAAATAAAGAGCCAATTTCTGTTATATTCGATGAGCTTAAGAAGTAATAATTGAGTTTTAAGTATCGATAAATAAAATATTGTAGTTTTATTGACATCCAAGTTATCGCGGGTGGTATTTGTAGTGTAGGCTTGCATGTCCGTATGACGTGGTATTAAACTAGTTTCGTCTGTATTGTAAAGGCTTTGTAGGTTAAAATTAGAAAAATCGATCAAGCAACTTTGTAACTAAACGTTGGGTTAATTTTTATAGCCTTACCGACGACACTTATTAATAGAAATTATACTTAACATTATCGAGACTAATTTTATATTATAAAAACTATAATGACAATAAATTATTAAATAACAACGTTATTATAATTATAGGAACTTTTTATAAGCACATTGGCTGTATAATATAAACTATGCACACATTCATTAAACGGATCTGCAAAGAAAAAAAAAAACTACATCTGACTAGTAATGTCGGCGTTGTACGGGTCGATGCTACTGCCCTTAGATCAATATCGCGACTAAGCACGGGACCAGTTGACCTAATTAGTAAACTTTTTACTAT